GCAGGAAAGCTGATGTTTCGGGCTTAGACCCTTCTGAAGAAGCTTTCCTGCTCCTCTAATGCTGCTTGGCCTGCTGTGTTCATCCAGCTCTACACCTTGTTATCTCAGAATGAAGTGGTTGGGTTCACACACTGTCACCATTTTTTCCTTAGACTTCAACTATAGGCAAGAGCTTCATTAATCTATGAAAATCAGATCCAATGGTAAAACAAAGCATATCAAAATAATACTATTGTCACACTAAGCAGCCGTCTTGTCTCTGAGCCAGAAGTTACGGGTTCAATTCACTTGGGCTCGAATTTTACACCCACATGCACCCAGTTTCAGGAGCTGGCTGGGAGAAAGAGAGGGCATAAATGCCGTTGGGATGGCAGTGCAAATTAATTAATGATTCTCTTCTTGTTATTGCTGGTAAGGTACCAGTAACTGGTAGGCACTGCATCATGTAGGGAGACTGCAGAGAAACTCGGCTCCTTGCGGTGGGTGCAGTGAGCTGGGGCAGTCCTCCTGAATCGGATAGCCTGTGTGCATAAGTGCTGGAAGACTCTTGACTTGCTTTTGGGATCACACCCCTTTTCCCCCTCGTCTGAAACTGCCTATTGGCTCTGTGAACTCCAAATCCAGGTTTTCTCAATCGTCACTGGTCTAAAGCCTGCTGCATTTCCAGCAGTAACCACTTCTCCAGATGGTACTGCTGGGACAAGAGTGCTGCTACATACATTTTACCTTTGATCTTGACTCGAAGTGCCACAAATTGAGATAGTTATTAATGTTTTACTTATAAAGATGTAAATTATTAAGGTCAGCCTTGGCTCTTTCAGGCATGACTGTACAGATTGAAAGGAGTGATAATAGAGTACAGAACTGGGATGTTTCCAATCGGGTGTGGCTCCAGAAATAGCTCATTAACTTGTTCTATATAGTGTATGTCAACATCAAAATGCTGGATTTTGGACTTTTTTATGGTCTGACCGGTTCATCCCTCAGTAAAAATGATGAGAACAAACAAAAGACATTGGGCAGAAACTTGTTGAGGGTTCGGGGGTCATGTCAGCCTGCTCCTAGAGAACCTGCACTCCCTCTTCTATGGAAGACCCACTGAACTACAAGCCTGTCAGGCAGTGGTGAGTAGGCCTGTGGGCCTTTCACTAGAATTAAGATCCCAGCGGAAAGAGTTCCAGGTCTGCAAGAATTGCCAGTCAAACAGAGCCTTGCAATACTTGCACTCAGCAATGCTGGGGAAAGCCATGGCTACTGCAGGAAGTACACATCCTCACAATCGCAGGATCATGGAGCAGCAAGGACAAAGTTAAAAAATGTGGGGGAGGGAATTTATCAGGTTAAGGCTCACAGAGAGAGGTCAGCAGGGGTTTCAGGAGCAAGGACAGGAGATGGCTCCCAGTGACGACACTACCTGATGTTCAGTCCATTGATCAGGCACTTATCAGGCACTGAGGACTGCAGTAGTTCAAGAAGGCAGCTCACCACCACCTTCTCAAGGGAAACTAGGGATGGGCAAGAAATGCTGGCCAGCCAGCAATACTCACATTCCACGAATGAATTTAAAAAAACTTACACTACCAGCATATTCTTCTCTTCACTTTCCCCTCATAGCTTAAATGTATCTATGTTAGTCACTTTAACAGCTTCTTGTGACATTTATTTCTACATTTTCACCACCCTCTTGATAAAGAAATTTTACCGGCATTTCACCAGCTGGGCAGCATGGCTGCTCACTCGTTAGCACTGCTGCTTCACAGCATCAGGGACCTGGGTTTGATTCTGCCCTTGGAGGACTGTCTGTGTGAAGTTTGCACATTCTCCCCATGTCTATGTGGATTTCTTCTGGGTGCTCTGGTTTCTTCTCACAGTCACAAAGGTGTGCAGGTTAGGTGAAGTCACTATGCTAAATTGCCCCTAGTGTCCAGGGATGTGCAGAGCCATGGGAAATGCAGGGTTACAGGGATGGGGTGGGATGCTCTTTGGAGAATTGGTATGGACTTGATGGGCCAAATAGCCTGCTTCCACGCTGTAGGAATTCTATGATTTCATTTCCATTTACAACTGACTATATCACATTTATGGCCCCCTAGGACTGGTCCCCTCCCCAAGTAAAAACATTTTCTCTGTGTCTACCCTGTCAAATTCTTTCACATCTTAAAGAATTCTATTAGATCACCCTCCCGCCTTCTCTTTTCTAGAGAAAAGAGCTCATGTTTGTTCAGTTTTTCTTGATCTGATTATCCTCTTAGTTGAGACATGTAAAACTAGTTCCTGTATGTGACCCGTGACCTGGAAGGTACAATTTTTTTTTAAATGACAAAACATTGTCTCTTTGAAATCCTACTTCCCTGTGTATAGTGTCTGATAGAAATCTTTTTTGTGATGGACTGTGATTTAAAACAAAGGATTCAATCATCCTTAAAATAGCCCAAATTGCTTAAAGACCAATGCAATTTCATACAATACCATGATTAACAGTGGTGTGTAGTTGAAAACTTGCAATCAAAAGCATTATATGGGCAAGTATAAGAGTTATCAAGTATGAGATACAAAAGAATATTTTCGTATTATCAGTAGAAATTACACCATAAACTATCTTGCACCACTGGTCAAAGTATCAGCTTTAAGCAACTAGAGCAAGCCGATACAATACCATTCCACTAAATAGTCCCAATTCACATAAGGTGTCCTGAAAATATATTGATAGGTTGACACTGAGTCCACTTAATTTTGTGTTCCAAAAATGATTAAATATTAATACAACAGAATTGTGGAATGCTCAGAGCAACCCATCTGTGTTGACTCTCTGCAACAATTATTTAGCCAATCTCACTCCCACACCCTTTGCTCCAGCCCTGAAAATTTTTTTCTTCCAGATGTTTATCAAATTCTCTTATGCAGTAAATTATAAGTCTTAAGCAGTTGCTGCATTCACATATTCTTCATTATGCCTTGGTTGGTTCTTTTGCTCATCATCTTAAATCTGTATCCTCTTTTCTTGATTATGTTCGCCATTGGGGACAATTAACCTCTAACAACATTTCCTGATTTGCCACAGATTTCCCCATTTATCTACAAAGCTGAAAGCCCTGAACTATTCTTGTATTTCTTTTCATTGTAAAGGTTTTGGGGTGTCAAATTTGTAAAATTGACATTGTCTGAGGAACTCCAAGAGAACAAAGCAAGTAAAGAATAAAACTTTACAAAAGCAGGCCAGGTCATAATTTTTCTCAGTCAATGTCAACAGCACAGAGCACATAGATATATTTTATGGAACTATGGAAAATATATTCAATTTCTAAGGAGAAACTGTTTCCACTGACGGTGGTGGTCAGTAATCAGGGGACACCAACCTAAGGTAATGAGC